CCTTCCTTCCTTCCTTTCTGGTAATGCTGAAGATTAAACCCAGGCCTGTCCGCTACAAACCCCAGCTCTGTTTCTTGGGAAAGGTGTATGTTTGTATGAATCACAAAAAACCAAGAGGCCAAAAGAAAATATAATTCTCCAGCTAAAACTTAACATATTGCATTGAGTTCAAACAAACACTGCAAAACCAAAAACAACATTTGGAAGCACTAGCTTACGGAGCCTCAGTGAATCAAAGGAACAGGCAGGGGGTGGTGATCTCTTCCATTCAGCTTGTGACTATTGTTACAATATATGCGTGTGTGCATGCAAACAACGAGGCATTTTTGCAAGTAAAATAAATGCTGACATGATATACCTAAGAATGGTAAATTGTAAAAACAAATATAAACCTTTAAACTGGCCTTTTCTTTTTTTTTTTTTTTTTTTTTTTTTTTTTTTTTTTTTTTTTTTGGTTTTTCGAGACAGGGTTTCTCTGCATAGCTTTGCGCCTTTCCTGGAACTCACTTGGTAGCCCAGGCTGGCCTCGAACTCACAGAGATCCGCCTGGCTCTGCCTCCCGAGTGCTGGGATTAAAGGCGTGCGCCACCACCGCCCGGCCCGAACTGGTCTTTTCTTTAAGTGATTCTAAGGAGTGCTATTAACCTTGCCTAGAGATATGAGTACATTTTCATTTTCCAGTGTTTTTGCATTCACTATAAGCCATAGTTCTTTCTTATCATTTTGACAGAAGTCCAAAGAGAAACAGATAGGAATGTTGTAAAATATTTCTGACATCACATCCTGAACCGATCTAAAAATATGAATGAACAAAAGTCTATCTGTTTTAATGGCACCGACTCAGGACAGCAATCAGAATATTTTCATTGTCATAAAAGTACTAGCGGTGGGCTGAGCTTATTGGTGGAGTGCTTGGCTGGCAAGTGCAAAGCCCTGTGTTTGATCCCCAGCATTGCATTAATCAGGGGATGGCACACACCTGATGGCACTTGGGATATGGATACAGAAGGATCAGACTTTCAAGGTCATCCTTAGCTGTGCGTCGAGTTTGAGGCCAGCCTGGACTACATGAGACCTTGTGCGGCGAGCTCCTCGACCAGCGAGGAAGAACGACCACCACTCGAAGATTCTTCTCAGATCACACTTTATTGGAGCCCCTCTTGATTGAGGGAGAGCAGGAGGTGAGGGGCCCCGAGGACTAAAATGCAGCTGCTTATATGGGGAATCAAGCAAGTTTATATGGGGAATCAAGCAAACGGGTCATATTGTGATTGGGTCCCGCCAGAATGCGAACACGGGGAGCCACGGGATAGGTTGAGGACATAAGGCCAATTACCATACTCGCCCATGCCCGGATCACAGGACACGTAGTCCTGAGAGCATAGCCATATATGGAGTTGTTTACAACTAGGCTGCCAGGAAGTCAGCACCATCCTTGAATGGCGGCTCCTTACAACCTTGTCTAAAGAAAAAATGTAATTGGAACCAGGAGTGGTGGCGCACGTCTTTAGACCCAGCACTCGGGAGGCAGAGGCAGACAGATCTCTGTGAGTTCAAGGCCAGCCTGGTCTACATTGTGAGCTCCAGGGCACCCAGGACAACATAAAGAGACCCTGTCTCAAAAAGAGAAAAATAAGAAAAGGAAAAAAATGTAATTTAGTATAATTCAGGTTTTGTGAAATATTGGCATTTTTATATTATTATCAAAATATATATATATGGTTCATTAAAAAAACCACATGTTTTTGGTATATTTCACACACTGCTAAACTCTTTGAAGATAGCAAGATGAATAAAACGATTCTTTCCTTCTCTCACTCCCACTGAGCCACAGGGGACTCCTAATCCACCCAGCCAAAGAAACAAACCCCCGCACCCCTGGTGGGGGGGGGCCTGGCTCTGCCTCCCTTCCGGAACATTCTATCCCGGAATGATTTGCTCTTGTCTCCTCACTTTCTCTACCTGCCTATCTGCCTCTAGTGTCCTGCTAATGTGTTAAAGAGTCGGATTGAAGGCCCTGGTTCCCTGGATGATGTCCCAGGTAAATACTGCTAACTTGATTTAGTGATGTAAAAATATGACCCGTCAGGTCTTTGCTCAAATATCCCGTTAGTCAAAACTTCCTTGGCCATCCTATTGAAAAAAAAATTCAAGCCTCCCCCAACTCTCTCTTCCCCTTCTGCAGCACTGGTCACCATCCAAGGTACACTGGATATGTTTCTTTCCTTTCTTACATCTACTCCTCTTAAGGTCTATGGGGGAAAGGAATTTTTATTACTGTTGCTGTATTCCCCCAGCTGGCACAAAGTTAACTCTCTTTTTAAATTCATACGTGAGTAAATATATAAAAGAGATGGTCATCATTCTTCAAGTGTTTACACATAGAAAATGAAAAAGGGCCATAAAACGTTGCCAGTGCCGCAGAGAAGGCCACACCAGGCCAAGACTCAGCGTGGGAATCACAGTAGAGAAAAGACAGCAAACGGATTTCTTGCTTTACTTAATAAGATTCAGACATCCATTCATTTTCCTCTCGTACGCAATATAAATTAACGAGTAAAGCAGAGGGCCACTTCTCCATGCAGGAAAAATCTCACCTACTAAAGGCTGCAATTTTTTTTTCCAAATATGTAAGACATAGATGTAGATCTGTAGCTTATTCTTATATCACAAACCACGGTAGCAGTGTTGACATAATCTGGGAAATGGTGACTTTAATCCAACACATTAAGCCCATTAGCAGGACTGTAGGCAGATAAGCAGGTAGAGACAATAAGATGGTACTATCTAATTTGCATAAGTTCCTAAGAACACCTTCAAATCATCAGCAGAATGGTGTTATGTTCTCAAAACTGATCACAACAGGGATCCTGTAACCTTGAGCTTGGAGTCTGTGAAATCTGTAAAAATAAAACTTGTGATTATTAAAAAAAAAAATCTCATTTTCTAAATCTCAAGAATGGTTGAATTTCCTGCTAAAAATTAAGAATAGGGGCTGAAGAAATGGCTTGAAGATTGAAAACACTGACTGGTCTTCCAGAGGAGAGGTTCTCCCATTACCCATGTGACAGCTCACAACTGTCTACTCCAGTCTTAGGGGATCTGATGCCCCCTCTGGCCTCCACTGGCACCAGGCAAGCATGTGATGCACAAAGATACATGCAGGAAAAACACTCACACACATAAAATGAAATCAATGAATCTAAAAGAAACACTCAAACGGGATGGAAAATTTAGACTGTAAATCTTGTGGTGCACCCTGAAGTCACATATGAGTGGGAGTGGAAGGTGCAATGTCTCCCTATAGAAGACCTTGGTGGAGCCCACTGGGTTCCAGAAGAGGTCTCTCAAATATCAACAGCTCGTCTTCTGCCTTGCATTTAAGTGAGTGACCATGTGGATTCGCTAAGATCTTCTGTGTGGTCTGAGGCTTTGGTATCAGCTAACACACTCTGCTCAGAATTCGTTAAATGGGACAGGAAATGTTATTTGATTGGAGGAAGAGAACCATTTACAGGTACATTGGGAAAAAAAGCTCTTTGGCTGTGTGTGGGAAGCTAAGGCAGGAGGATGGGGATTTTGAAACCAGCCTGGACTACGTGTAGAGACCTTGTCTCAAGATAAACAAGAGGCCAGGCAGTGGTGACACACCCTTTATCACAGCACTCAGGAGGCAGAGGCAGGTGGATCTCTGAGTTCAAAGCCAGCCTGTTCTACAGAGTGAATTCCAGGACAGCCAGAGCTTCATAGAGAAACCCTGTCTCAGAAACAAAAACAAAACAGAAAAATGCATAAATAAGCAAAACAAAGCTCTTTCAAGAAAATATCATTCAACTTGAAACTAAAAAAACTGAATTTTTCTTATTTATTTCCATAATATTTTCAAGGTTTAAGTTACTGGTTTAAAGAGCAGATATGCAAGAAAACAGATATATACTTGCATAAAATATAACATCTTTTATAGAAAATGAGTCCTCTGAGTTTATTGTCCTCTGGGTCGTTGGTGATTCCAGATACTGCTGGACATGATGGCACATGTTTATAATCTTAAAGCTTTGGACGTTGAGGCAGTGGAATTGTAAGTTATTGGTCACATAATGAGAGCATGTTTCAAAAAAAAAAAAGTAAAGCGAAAATAGTAGCAAAATATTCCACATATGCATTATCTTGGTGGGCACAGGTGAGGGCAAGTGTAGTATACATATTGACCAGATGATGGCAGCATAGAGCTATATTTGTGTCCTGCCACTGGGAAGGGCCACTTGATTAGCTTGCTTAGAAAGACTGTCTGTCCTTCAACTTTACACAGCACAGTAAATGCACCAATTATTTATATAATTCTATCATGCTAAATTAGCCTCATGCTAATTTTGTTAATTTTTGTACGTAAATGCGCAAGAACTGTGTATAAAGAACACAGGCTATGGCTATCTGAAAAAATGTTCCCAGAAACCCAGCTCTTACTCTGAGTGGTACAGTAACTAGTAGATGCCATCCGGTGTGGACTGAGATAAACTCAGACCAGAATCTACATTGTTAACCTTTTGATTGTTTTTGCTTCAGACATTCTTTTTGTTGTTACTATTATTGTTTTGGTTTGATTTTTTTAAAATTATATATATATATATATTGTTTTACAATACCATTCAGTTCTACATATCAGCCACGGGTTCCCCTATTCTCCCCCCTCCCACCCCCTCCCCTTGCCCCCAGCCTATCCCCCAATCCCACCTCCTCCAGGACAAAGCCTCCCCCCAAGGACTGCGATCAACCTGGTAGACTCAGTCCAGGCAGGTCCAGTCCCTTCCTCACAGACTGAGCCAAGTGTCCCTGCATAAGCTCCAGGTTTCAAACAGCCAACTCATGCAATGAGCACAGGACT